GCGAGAGAAGAAAGTTGATGAATTTTTATTTATTTTTATTTACCTTTATTTATTTTTTTTAAAAACGTTGCCCCACATTAGGATTTTCTCCTGTGTCGTGGGTGCGTTTACAAACACTCAATTTCTTATACACATCTCACCCAGACCAGGAACAACAATCCGTGGATCACACAAAGACTTGTTTCGTGCGGGAATCGAAACCGCAACACGTTGCGCGGCAACCAGTCACCCAGCCACCGCGCCAGCCGTGCGTTCAAAACTACTTGACCGATTTGAAAAATTCTTTTACCGTTAGGAAACAAGGTAAGGTACATAATTTCAAAGTGATGATATCATTAATTTTAAAAATACCACTATTTCGTATTTTTGGACGCTAAACAAAAAAACGAATATCAGAAGTTTAACTTTATGTCTGTTGGTCAATCCTCTAGTGAAGCTATTTGCTCGTTCCAAAGTGTAGATTTCTAAAGATAACAACGGGCAAACTGATGTACATCACTACACAGTATAAAACAAAGTCGCTTTCTCTGTCCCTATATCCCTATGTACGCTTAAATCTTTAAAACTACGCAACGGATTTTGATGCGGTTTTTTTAATAGACAGAGTGATTGAAGAGGAATGTTTATGTGTATAATAACATCAATTAAATAGTGGAGAATTTTAGAATTAGCATTACACCTGTGCGAAACCGGGGCGGGTCGCTAGTAGGGTATGAACAAAGCAAGTGAAACCGCGGGACACAGTTAGTAAGAAGTAATTCTATTACTTAATTAATTTATTCATCGGATTACGTCACTAATCGTAGTGGTTTTCCCTGTTAATTAAGTAAAAAATAATCACTTATTAAACACGTCCATTTAAAAAGTAATTCGTAATGACGTCAATAAATGTTTTTTTTTAATTTAGTAAGAAAAACCGCATGTATAAAGCCATGCGAGGCGAGTTTTCGAGTCAGACTTGTGCATCGAGTGATTTATTTTATTAAGTAGGTACTAGCTTTTGCCCACGACTTTGCTCGCGTGGAATAGTGACTTCTTGCAGATTTTTGGTTTAAAACTATCCTGTCCTTTCTTTTTTTTTTCATATTCTTTGAGAAAGAGTGAGCCATGCATCACGGTCGACCGGAACCACAGCCACGGGAACGAAACCTGGAAAACCTGGAGTGAAACAACTCTTGATTCTCAATCCCCAAAAGACCAGCAACGTAATTAGAACTCCTCTGGTGTTGACTGTTCATGATTGACCGATTGCTTACCATCAGGTAATCCGTCTGCTCGTTCAATATGATAAAAAATATAATGTTGTTTATTAGTAATAGAAATAAGGTCTTTATTATAATCTGAGGCTAATGGCCTGTAAGGTCACCTGATATGGAGGGCACAACAACTCGTAGATATCAATACGAAGTTAGGTAATACATATTATTAGATAAAGATATATATAATGTCAGGGTGGCCCGGAGGTTAAGGAGCCCGCATCTCTTGCATGAGGGTGTGGGTTCGAAACCTGGCAAGTACCAATGTGAATTTTTCCGAGTTATATGTACTTTCTATGATTAAATAGACACCACTGACATACGGTGAAGGTAAACATCGTGAGGAAACCTGGACTTTTAATCTCTAATTATAAGTTTGAAATCGCCAACCCGCATTGAGCAAGCAGAAGCAGGAGAAGGTTAGAGCATTAATCACCACATTAATGCTCTAACCTTCTCCGTATGAGAAGAGGCCTTTGCTCAGCAGTGGGCACTTATAGGCTGATGATGGTGATGATGGTGGATATATAATAATAAGTTAATTAGTCAAAATATGATACATCACTATACCTACATAGTATTTTTTTATGGGATGTGCAAACAAGTAAACGCATTACCTGATGGTAAGCAATCAGCGTCGCCCATGGACAACCGCAACGACGGAGGAGTCACGAGTGCGCCGTCGACCTTTTGGGGATCTGGAGATTTTGGGAAAGAGAACCGATTGGTGTTGGGGAAGGATTGGGCCTCAGATAACCTCACTCACACAACTCTTTGGTTATTTCACGCCGGTCTTCTGTGAGGCCGTGGTATCACTCCGGTCGAGCCGACTCATTCAATGAGAAGATCTATCTATCTGTCTATTAAAAAAAACCGCATCAAAATCCGCTGCGTAGTTTTAAAGATTTAAGCGCACATAGGGATATAAGGACAGAGAAAGCGACTTTGTTTTATACTAAGTGTGGAAGAGTCATGCTTCGGCACGAATGGGTCAACTCCACCGGAGTGATACCACGGCCTCACAGAAAACCGGCGTGAAATAACCAAAGAGTTGTGTCTCCAATCCTTCCCCGCCCCCAATCCCTCCTCAATCCCTAAATCTCCAAATCCCTAATCCCTAAAAGGTCGGCAACGCACTCGTAACTCCGGGTGTCCATGGGCGGCGCTGATTACTTACCATCAGGTAATCCGTCTTGTTTGCCGACCAATTACATAAAAAAAAAGATTCAAGTGATGCCGCCAGACCAGAACCAGACCTGAGGGTCCAAGCGTAGCGTTCAGCGCGCGCCTTAAAGAGGCAGTAGACCACCACAGATGGGGCCAAGCATGACCATCAATGCTTAACCGGGTCAAGGACAATAAGGAACCGTGGATTCAGCCGAAAACAGGAGGAGGAACAGGGGTTTTTTTAGTCAGCAAGATTCTGATGCTCACTCTAGCCGCATCCTTGAAAGAAGCCATTCGATGATTTTCCCCTCACTAAAAAATTGTTATGATAGTCTTTGGAATTGTCTGCTGTGCAGGTTGAGTTGTATAATCTCCGTACTAGTCTGTTAGTCTCTCGGCCTCTAGATCACAATACGGTAGTTTCCAACTAGTCAAATTCAATACTTTTTTCCAAACGTCAAAAACGATACCTTTCTATGAAAAATTTTATGAGATTTTGAGTTATGACGTCATTAAATGTTAGGTTAGGTTAGGTTAGGGCATCCTCAGGAGATGTTGACTCGACGGCTCGTCGAGTCAACATCTCCTGAGGATGCCCTGTGGAGGGGCGAAACACGTGTCGAGTATAGGTTTGATTGCGTGCCATGTTTTTCCGTTTTGTGTATGTGTGCATATGCATGTGGGCGGGAGGGTGGGACCCTTGCTGCATGTGCATATGCATGATTGCATAGGAGTGGGATTGCATCCTGCAACAAGCCTGGATTTTTGTCGCGGAATTATAACTAAATATTTTCCCTAACATTTAATGACATGGATTTCCGCAAAGTAACGCCTGATTCTATAAATTATCTTATGACGTCATAACATTTTTGCGTCAAATAACTTACTTATTTTTTAATCATCATCATCATCAGCCTATAAGTGCCCACTGCTGAGCAAAGGCCTCTTCTCATACAGAGAAGGTTAGAGCATTAATCACCACGCTTGCTCAATGCGGGTTGGCGATTTCAAACTTATAATAAGAAATTATAAGTCCAGGTTTCCTCACGATGTTTACCTTCATAACTCGGAAAAAGTCACAGTGGTACTTGCCAGGTTTCGAACCCACACCCTTATGCATGAGAAGTGGACTCCTTAACCTCCGGGCCACCACGACTGTCTATTTTTTAATAATTAGCTACAAAATATCTAAAATTGAGTGTATCGATCGATCGATGAATAAAAGTACTTATAGTTTTTCAATATTTTATTGTATTGAAAAGTCGAATTAATTTATTTAACTACCCAATTGAGTTCAACATGTTCAATATCCACTGAGAATGCTCTGCTGAAATACCTTTTGTTAAGGGGAAAATCATCAAATGACTCCTCTCGCACAGGGTAGAGGGAGTGTCAGACTCTTACTGACTAAATCCCTACCGTTTCATGTCCTGCTTTAGGCTGATGGTAGTGCCTACCTTATAGTGCTTGCCCCGCAACCCTGGGCTTGCCCAAAACCTTGGAGGAATATGAGTACGAGTTTCCTTTCAAAAAATGGATTTTTGTCGGAGATAGCAATTTAAAAGCTTCAAGTCAATCAAAGAGTGGTGCTGCCCTTAGTTGTATATATGTATATAACACGCACTTGCATAGCAACGGTGATCCTAAAATGTGAATGTAAGTGTGGAAGAGCCAAGCTTCGGTACGAATGGGCCGGCTCGACCGGAGTGTCACTATGGCATCACAGAAAACCGGCGTGAAAAAACCACAGCGTTGTGTTTCGCCGTGTGAGTGACGTTACCGAAGTCCCAATCTCCCCTCCTCCCCAATCCCTCCCAAATCTTAAAATCTCCTTATTTCCTAATCCCCAAAAAGGTCGGCAACGTACACGTTACTCCTTCGGTGTTGTTGGTGTCCATGGGCGGCGCTGATTACCTACTTACCTTTTTTTTTTTGGTGTCGGGTTGGAAAAACCTCATGGAGACCGACCACCCTCGGGGAAGGGCGAAGGGTACTGTCAGACTCTTACTGACTAAAAACCAACCCAGTGTTCCTCCACTTACTCATGTGTCGGAGGGGCGGGTATCGCCCTCCGACGGGTATTGTCCCGCCAGATGGTAAGGCGGGCCCCGTCACCCACTGCGGCCGTCACCCCAACCGCACCCTCAGGTAATCCGTCTGCTCATTTGCAGACGTATACCATAAAAAATGAATTTTAATCTGTCTTAACACAAAACAATAAATGTATAATTAGTTTTACCGTATCATCATCATCAGCCTGTTGTCGTCCACTGCTGGACATAGTGCCATATTGCCTCCCCAATTGCACGCCACTGAGCTCGATGTTCAGCTCTTCTCATCCAACCACTGCCGGCCACCCTGCGGATGTCGTCAGTCCATCTAACTGGAAGGCGCCCTACACTACGTTCGCCTAGACGTGGTCTCCACTCTAGAACACGTTTTACCGTTTAAAGAATTAGAATTGGTTAAGGAAATTATCATCTTGCGCTAATGAAGTGGTTTATCCCGCTAGCCGCTAGCTCGCGACTTCGCTAGTACTTAGTAGGCGTCTGTCATTCTCCGTAGACGGACGCGCCAATATTCCTTGCGTCAAATTTAAAATAAAAAAAAACTGTTCAATAACCAAATTGTGTGTTAAAAACTGAATTATGTTTTACAATTTTGTGTTATTGTTGTGTGTGTCTGTTTGTATTCAAGCTCAGATTGAAGGTTAGTTTACATTTTTATTATTATTTAAAAGCGTTTTGTTTTATCTACCTATTTTGTTTACGAATACAAAATGAACGCCCTTGACCTTGAGTGTTGTAGCGAATATTTTTCTTGTTTATTACCTAGTATACGATAGTGTTTTATTTTTATTAAAAGCTGTGTTATGATGGCCTAGTAGATATATGTTACTAATTTCTTGACCTGGGTATCGAAAGAGCTGATTAAGAAACTAAATATTAGGTAGGTATAGACCGGGCAACTCTCTGATAATAAACCTTTTGAACTGCGATTTCCAACCTGTTTGTTATGTGTGGTGTAGTATATTTATATTAAAAACCTCTTTTTGAAGAGTCAATATATGTATAATACAACGGTATTATCGTCCGTCGTTGTTGTATATACAATTTTTTAGGTTATGATCTAGGTAGTCTATTTTTCTCTTTACTACATCATATTATAACATAAAGTCGCTTTTTCAGACACTATATCCCTATGTACGCTTAAATCTTTAAAACTACGCAACGGATTTAGATGCGGTTTTTTTAATGGATAGAGTGATTATAGAGGAATGTTTTTAATACCTATGTATGATAACATCCATTAAATGTAAACGCATTTAGTATTAGCTTGGCTGCCGTGCAAACATTTAGTATCACCTTGCTTCCGTGCGAAGCTGGGGGGCGGGTCGCTAGTTAATTATAATTAAGTACCTAGTACAAAATAATAATGAATCGTTGCAAATCGTTTTCCTAAGCGCATAACTCAACAACGCCTGGACCAATTTTAACAATTATTTTTTTGTTGTGTTTGTTATTGTCTGCATAAAGTTGTTATGAAATATATTTTGGACAATTATAAGGAAATATTGACAGAAGCAAGACTTAATGACTTCTTTTATAGGTAAATATTACTCCTACGTAGTTTACCACGCTGCTCGGCTCCTTTTGGTTCAAGCGTAATATTTTATAGACCCTGTTCGGATATAGGCCTTGTTCGGAAAATGGACTATCCAACATGAAAATAATTCATCATCATCATCATCATAAGTGCCCACAGCTGAGCAAAGGCCTCTTCTCATACGGAGAAGGTTAGGGCATTAATCACCACGCTTGCTCAATGCGGGTTGGCGATTTCAAACATATAATTAGAAATTATAAGTCCAGGTTTCCTCACGATGTTTACCTTCACCGTATGTCAGTGGTGTCTAAATAATCATAGAAAGTACATAATACAGTATAACTCGGAAAAAGTCACATTGGTACTTCCCAGGTTTCGAACCCATACTCTCATGCATGAGAAGCGGGCCGCTTAACCTCCGGGCCACCACGACATTTATGAAAATAATTGTTCAATTCGAAAAAGTAGTTCCGCAGATTGGCGCCTTCAAACACACGTCAGCGTAAACACTACTGAACGGATCTGAATGTAATTTGGCACAGAGATAGATTGTAGTCTTGAATAACACATATTATGTAGGCTTTTGACCCTGGTACAGCGAACGAAGCCAGAGGCAGAAGCTAGTATTTTTATTTTTATTAAAACTTTCGTGAGACATTCTAAATTATTTATTATGTTTTTTGGCTTAGGTACTCACGTAATAATTTGACGAGATACTCGACTAGTTTCAAGCCTTGCTAGAGGCCAATATTCATGAGCAGCATTCCGCGACACGCGACGCGGCGACTGTCGCGCTGCTGCTAGTGTTTTATTAAGACTAATAATAAACACAAAACAGATTACTGGCATGAGTCACAAAGCACTCAGAAAGCAATTACTTACTTAGGTATAGAAACGAGCGTAGTGTTTCCATTAAGTGATTTTTAAATACTTTTTCCTTATACGCAGTTAAAACTCCGCTTATATAACTTAAAATTCCTCAAATGTAGGTCTGTAACTACCGCAGACGGGCCCCACAGGGCTCATGTTAAAATAGGAGAACGAACGGGGCGGTTTTTAGTCAGTAAGAGTCTGACACTCTCTCGCCTAACCTTGGGCGGGAGATGTCATTTGATGATTTTTCCCTAAAAAAAGTAGGTCTTTATATAAAATTACTACGTAACAAGTAATAAATAAAGCTTTATGATCCATATTTATGTATAAATGTCTTAATAAAATGAGCACCCACGGAAATAGGCTTTAGGACCTTAAGCCCGCGATATCTAGTTACCGTAGGCTTAAGGACGGCGAGCAAGAGTAGTTCGCCGTTAGATATTTTTATATGCGATTGGACGGCTAACGAGCTTACGGATTGCCTGATGGTAAGCAATCATCGTCGCCCATGGATCAAACAACGGATGAGTTACTAGTGGGTTGCCGCCCGTTTAGGGATAAGCGGAATAAACAAAGAAACTTTCCCATTTTTATAATGTTATAAGGATTAAACTAAGAATATGGACATGTACTATGTTACCCTGTTTTAAACTACACACAGCGCCATCTATCGCCGAAGTGGTATGAAGCTAACAATATTTTTTCCATCAGGAATATCTATTTTTCTGGGATAAAAAAGTATACTATTATTCAATCCGAATTGCTTACTGTACGTTGGCAAATTTTTAAAACGTTCGGTTCAGTAGTTATTTTTTGTCAGGGGAAAATCATCAAATGACTTATCCCGCCCAGGGTAAGGCGAGACACAGTGTCAGACTCTTACTGACTAAAACCCCCCTGTTCCTTCTCCTGCTCTGGGCCGAGGTCGCGGTGCCTCATTGCGCTTAGCCCGCAACCCTAGCTGAACAGCAGCCCTATAGGGGCCCCGTCTGTGGTGGTCTATTGGGTCTTTGAGGCGCGCGCGGAACGCTACGCGCCGTCCGTCGGATCTGGGTGATTCTCCAAAAAACCTTAACTTTTATTTAACAAGTCATTATCCTCCCAGGTTTTTAAGCATCTTAGTAATTTATTTTATACAATATTTTTAATCGGTTGCTTGTAAGCAGTGGTGAGATTTAATTTAATAAAATAATTATCTGTGTTTTAATCAGCAGACTCGTTAATTTTCGGTTGAGGATAATGACATCATTAAATTTTTTTAATTGATGTGAAGAATCACCCATCTGGTTCTGGTCGGGCGGCGAGCTGCCCTTACTCGCCGACCGCAGACCCGCGCTTACGGTGGCCGGAGATCATCTCTCGATGTCTGTCGAATGTCGCCTACTGCGGCGGCTGGGGCGCGAGGAGGATAGTTCCCTCACACGCTCCGCCCCCTCCTTTGCGAGCATGACTGCTTCGCAGAAAGGGAAGACGGCTTCCCAGTTCCTCTCACTTCGAACCATGGCCTCGACTAAGGCCGGGCGCGAGAGGTCGACGCCGCCGATCACTTCCCCGAGGAGACGGCGGTGCTCAGCCCAAGCAGAGCGCTCCGCCATCGTATGCTCCACAGTGTCCTCATCGGTTCAGTAGTTACGGAGTGAGTGCGCAACAAACAGACTAACAAACTTTCTTTCCTATTTATAATATTAGTAAGGATAGAAAGATTATTTACTAAACTGCTAGACAATAATAAGAATTAATTAATGGAATTACTCAATTATTTTTTTTCAGAAGGTGACCGCTGCGAAAACGATGGCGTCTGGGGTATATGTACAAACTTGAACAGATGTCAGTCGGCCATACAAGAGATAAGAAACAGGATAAACCCGAAGGTAAACACTAGTTAATAAACATGAAGGACGCCCAATCCTTCCCCTCCCCCGATCCCTCCCAATCCCTAAATCTCCAAAACCCTAATCCCTAAAAGGTCGGCAACGCACTCATAACTCCTTCGTTGCGGGTGTCCATGGGCGGCGCTGATTGCTTACCATCAGTTAATCCGTCTGCTCGTTTGCGGAACTATTCCATAAAAAGAAAAAATTATGCGTTGGAGTCATGCGCCATGCGTCGGCACGAATGGTTCGGCTCAGCCGGAGTGATGCCACGACCTCACGGAAAACCGGCGTGAAACAACCACAGCGTTGTGTTTCGCCATGTAATTGAGGCTACCGGAGGCCAAATCGCTCCCTCATCCCCTATCCATTCCCAATCCTTAAATATCCGCAACCCTTATCCCCAAAAGGCCGGCAACGCACTCGTAACTCCTCCGTTGCGGGTGTCCATAGGCGGCGCCGATTGCTTACCATCAGGTAATCCGTTAGCTCGATTGCTGACTTAAGCCATATAAAAACCACATCATCAGCCTATACCTAAGTGCCCACTGCCGAGCAAAGACCTCTTCCCACACGGAGAAGGTTTGAGCATTAACCACCACGCTTGCTCAAGGCGGATTGGCGATTTCAAACTGGTTTCTTCACGATGTTTTCGTTCACCGTTTGTCAGTGGTGTCTAAATATATTTTGAAAGTTTGAAAGTACTTATAATAACAATAGTGTTTACGTGAGAGAGTAACAAACATTCAGCAGTTCTTATATACTTTCGCGTTTATAACCTTTATGTATAAAAATGGATCGCAAAATGTGTTGGTAAGCGCAAAACTCAACAACGCCTGGACCAATTTTGCTTATTCTTTTTTTTTGTTGTCTTTGTTATTGTCAGGTTCTTATCAAAGAAAATATTAGAAAAGTAGAGGGGAAGATTGGAAAAAAAGTGACCCTTTGATAGCGAGATAGTTGGACCCGTGCGAAGCGGGGGCGGGTCGCTAGTATATGTATATTTGTAAGAATTGAAGTTTCGTAATAATCTTAGCTAGTTAATATGTACAGGTATTAATATTACCGTTAATGAGAAAATCGTTTAAAAAATAATAAAAAATAGTCTTAAGGTATTTTATAAGACTGCTCATTAACTTATTATCTACGCAATAGAGTTCAAAATTATTAATTACTAGCTAGTGACTGCACGGTTGGTGCGGTGGCTGGGCAACTGGCTGCCGTGCAACGCGTTGCGGGTTCGATTCCCGCACGGAACAACTCTTTGTGTGATCCACAAATTGTTGTTCCGGGTCTGGGTGTCATGTGTATGTGAAATTGTTGTTTGTAACCACACCCACGACACAGGAGAAAATCGTAATGTGGGGCAATGTTTTAAAAAAAAATCTCTCGCATGGTTTCACCCGCTGCTCAGCTCCATCTGATCGTAGCGTGATGTTTTATAGCATATAGCACTCAGGAACATTGTAGCTAGGTATCAGTGAAAGAATTTTGGCAATCCGACTAGCGGTTAAAAGATTACCCGCTACATACAAACTTACAAACATACAAATTCTACCTCTTTATAATATTAGTATAGACTAGCTTTTGCCCACGACTTCGTTCGCGTGGAATAGTGACTTTCTGCAGATTTTTGGTACAAAAACTATCCTATTTCCTTTCTCGAGTTCCAAACTATGTCTGTACCAAATATCACAGAAATCGGTTCAGTAGTTTAGGCGTGAAGAAAAGGCAGACAGACAGAGTTACTTTCGCATTTATAATATTCGTTTGGATTACTTTGGATGACCTCTCCTTTCCTTTTTTCAGATCTGTACATTCAAAAATGCAGACCCTATCGTTTGCTGCGTGGACAGAAACTCCGGACCCACAGCCACTACCACTAAGAGGTAAGAGGGAATTAAGGAGTGCTTAGAAGGAGGTTTTTAATGGTATAGGTCGACAAACGAGCTGACGAATTACCTGATGGTAAGCAATCAGCGCAATACCAAAAGTCAAAAGTCAAAAATCATTTATTCCAATTAGACCCTTACAGGCACTTTTGAACGTCAAACAAAATTTTGAAGATATAGTGTCAGTCTGTCGGTCAGTCCTCTTAGTGAAGCTATTCGCTCGTTCCAAAGTGTAGATTCCGATGGAGAAGAACGAGCAAGAAACTCCATGGTTACTCTTTTTAAATCAGTTTCACATACAGATTCCTTTTACAAACATTTGGTTCAATTATGTGTACCAAAGGAGTTACGAATGCGTTGCCGGCCTTTTAGGGATATGAGTTTCGGATATTTATGGATTGGGCTAGATGGGAGGTGATGGAGGGATTGGAAATCCGGTAATCTCACTCACACGACGAAACACAACGCTATAGTTGTATCACGCCGGTTTTATGTGAGGCCGTGGTATCACTCCGGTCACTACCGGTAATAGGTAGGTGAACAGCAGACGGATTACCTGATGGTAAGCAATTAGCGCCACTCTTGGACACCCGAAACAACAAAGGAGTTACAAGTGGGCTCCCCACCTTTTGGGGATAAGGGTTTGGGAGATTTAGGGATTGGGGGATGCGAAAGATTGGGCCTTTGGTGACCTTAATGTTTCATCTTATTTTCAGGCCTTTAGTTACAACGACACCGGTTTACATACCCCCAGTTTACGATTACGTCAACGTAGACCCGACCCATAGCGGCTGTGAACCTATCCCTGAATCTCTTACAGCCAAGAAAACTGGACAAAAGGCTTTTGATAGTAAGTTGACTCACATATATGTACCACCTCTACTCTTCTCGCGGGTGTGGCATACCCGATTCAGTGTTTGTACAGTCAACAAAATACCTTTGATAGGGTATGTGTTGAAACCTCACTCATACAACGAAACAATGCAAGCATTTTTTCAGCAGAAAACTGGCGTGAAACAACTACAGCGTTGTGTTTCGCCGTGTGAGTGAGGTTACCTGAGGCCTTATCCTTCTTTCCCTCCCCAAATCTCTTTTAATCCTAAATGATAACCCAGGTATTCCTTTAGATCGTTAACAGCTCTATCACATAAAAAAACATGAACTAAACATCCCAATTTTTCATCATCATCATCATCATCATCGGAATTTTTCTTCTTTGTAGAAAAAGACTATAAGACCGTCAGTGGTATCACTTCGGTATTTTTTGTCAGGGGAAAATCATCCAATGACTTCACCCGCCCAGGGTGAGGTGAAAGGAAGTGTCTGGCTCTTACTGACTAAAAACCTCCCGTTCCTTCTCCTGCTCTAGGCCGAAGCCGCGATGCTTTACCTTAGAGCATCACTCCGGTGGAACCGCCACTTAAACTTAAGTCTTCTATTCAATGACGTATTATATATAGACACGTCATGAACCAACATCGCGGCGCTTAAAAACGGCGAAAATACAAGATAACTACTTCTACGACTAAAGAAAGGGAAAGCAAATATGACATCGTATAGTGGAATGCCTTTGCTAGAGGGAGATAAATATACATCTTCAGTTATGCCGACGGCACGTGACTATACCTTCATGCGCCGGCCGCCATAAGATGGCGGGCGCCAAAATAAAATAAAAATAGGTTGTTTGGTGAACTTACGCATGAAATGACACATTTTTGTATTTAACTTTTAGAGTATAATTTGTACATCCTCTGAACACACACGACGGCATGCTTTCTTTAGTTTCGCACAGGTTTACACACACGATATAAATTATAACAAACGTAGCGTCGCGCGGGAGGTTGGTGCGTGACTAAGCGCGATGTTGTCAAATTGCCTTCATTTCATGTTGCCATTTTAGAGCGCGGACAACGTATCTATAGATTTATACATCATTGCTTCTATTTCAGAATGTATAGAATACCAGGAGCAGCTGGTCTACCCTTGTGAGAAGGGAGTGGCTCTGACGGGAGACCTCAGCAGAAGTAACCGCTGTCATCACAACGCTGACGAACTTATCATTGGTGGCACTGACGCAGCGCAGTATGAGTTTTCACACATGGTGATTATAATATTCTTTTATGGTGATATTTCTTTTTAACCGACTTCAAAAAAGGAGGAGGTTCTCAATTCGACGAGTATTTTTTTTTATGTATGTACACCGATTACTCGAAGACGCCTGGACCGATTTGCGAAATTCTTTTTTTATTCGATAGGGTATACTTGCCATTTGGTCCCATTGTCATGAGGGACATGTCGACCAGATGATGTAACTGGAAGACAGTCGAGGGATCTCCTTGACTATTTGGAGTAGTTGCCTTGTGTTTGGGCTTGAATGATTCGTATTGGCGAGCACTTTGCAGGCTTTAAACATATGAATAGGTAGCACATAGAATTGATAGTGTTTTATTATTAATATTAAAAGTATTAGCTTCGCGTACGTAAGAGTGGTATTAAAATATCAATTTTAATGACTTATTTGACACTTTTTTGTTTTTGAAGTCGGTTTTTTTAAACGTAGTTTTTTTTTATCGTATAGGTTTTCAAACGAGCAATCCGCTTACCTGATGGTAAGCAATCAGCGCCTCTCATGAACACCAGTAACAATAAAAGAGTTACGAGTGCGTTGCCGGCCTTTAGGGAAAAGGGGTTTGGATATTTGAAGACTGCGAAGGGATTGAGGGAGGGGGAGGTACCTAATTTTATGGTGATTTGTTGTGGCGTGGTTGCTTGGAAGGTGAAGCGCGTGAGGATCTTGGTTCATCACCAAGTACCAAAGTAGCCTTTTTGATACGGTGATGGAACTGCTCGTTCTTCTCCATAGGAATCTACACTATGGAACGAGCAAATAGCTTCACTAGAGGACAGATGGACAGATTAACACGTTTAATTTTAAAGCTCTTGAAATACTTTTTGCCATTTTTTTTTTGCTTGACGTTCAAAAGTGCCTACTGTGGTCTAATTTAAAGAAATGATTTTGACTTTGAAGCCATCTTGAGGTAACTGGGTGGGGTAAAAGGGAGAGTCAGACTCTTACTGCCTAAACACCACCCAGTCCCTTCTCCTTCTCCAGGCCGCAGCTTTGCATTATGGGCTTGCCCCAGCCTGAGGAAACCTAGACTGAGTACCGTATGAGAGGTTACCCGAGGCCATATTCCATACTCAATTATCAAATCCCCTATCCTTAATTCCCCACAAGAGGCTGTCAACGAACTTGTAGTGACTTATTTGGTACAAGCTATTCTCGCGCAGTTTCACCCGTGGCTCCATTTGATCGTAGCGTGATGTTTTATAGCCTATAGCACTCAGGAACATTGTAGCTATCTATCAGTGAAAGAATTTTGCCAATCCGACCAGCGGTTCCAAAGATTACCCCCTACATACAAACTTACAAATTTTATCTCTTTATAATATAAGTATAGATATAGATTACCAGTGTCCATGGTCGGCTAGATTGGAGGGATACCACGGCCTCACAGGACCCCGGCATTAAACAATACTCATATTGTTTCGCTATGTAAATGAGGTGTCCATTTTCAAGCCCATTCCTTCCCCTCCCCATCCTCAATCCTCAAATCCCTAAAAGGCCCTAAATCCCTCGTAACTCCCAAAGCCCAGCAACGCACTTGTAATTACTCTTTTGGGAGTGTCCATTGGCGGCGCCGATGGCTTACCATCAGGGACCCGTCTACTTAATGGCCGAAATATCCCTAAAAAAACCTTATTAAATCTGATTATGAGTTTGAAATCGCCAATCCGCCTTGATTAAGCGTGGTGATTAATGCTAATATCTTCTCCATGCGAGAAGAGGCCATTATTTAGCAGTGTGATAATATAGATGTTGTTGATAATGAGGATAACCTTGGATTTCCAGGTGATGGTAGGTTATGGTGAGCTGAAGGATGTCCAGTGGCTGTGCGGGGGGGCTCTCATCAGTGAGAAGTTCATCCTGACTGCAGGACACTGCATTGCAAGCAGAGACCTGTGAGTTTACAACTTTACTATTTATTCGCCCGCGTTGTTTGTTATTATTAAGTTTACCTATAAATTAAAATCATATTTAATTAAAAAATTAAAATTAAAAAAGCCCCCAACAAAAAATCTAATAATTCTTTTTTTTTATAGCCTTTTGTGTGTCCCACTGCTGGGTAAAGGCCTTTTTCCTTCCAAACTCTGTCTAGAGCGATCTCCGGCCAAATTTGACCCGCAGACATGATCAGATCGGCAAAGCATTGATTAACAAATAATTGATTGATGTTTTTATATTTCCAGGGGCCCAATAACGTATGTGGTAGTTGGCGCCTTAAGGCGAAGTGATGCAGCCGACAGATCTAAGATTTACAAAGTCAAAAACATCATCAAACACCCACAGTTCCAGCCACCAGCCAAATATAACGACATCGCCTTAATTGAAACTGAAAACACGTAAGTATATTAACATTAATTATTATGTTTTCGGCTTACTCACTTCATAATTTGACGAGATACTCGACTAGTTTCAAGCCATGCTAGAGGCCCATATTCATGAGCAGCATTCCGCGACACGCGACTCGGCGACTGTCGCGCTGCTACTGGCTACTCGAGTCTTCGCGCCCAACGCGCCCTCTGCCGCGATTCACTCTACACGTGTGAATGTCTCACGAAAGTTATAATAAAAAAATATTAATATTATTCATAAGTGTGAGAGACCCATGCTTTGGCATGAATGGGTCGGCTAGACCTGAGTGATACTACGACCTCACAGAAAACCGGCGTTAAATAATGCTCACGTTGTTTTTCGCCGTGGTATTGAGGTTTTCCGGAGGCCAATTACTTCCCCCTCCTCCCATCCCTTCCCAGTCCGTAAATATCCGAAACCCTTATCCCCAAAAGGCCGGCAACGCACTCGTAGCTCTTTTGGTGTTGGGCGGTGTTGATTGCTTACCATCAGGTAATCCGCTAGCTCGTTTGCGAACCAATTACATAAAATAAAAATACAGTGAAGGAAAACATCGTGAGGAAACCTGGATTTATCGCCTATCCACCTTGAGCTAGCGTGGTGGTTAATGCTCAAACCTTCGCCGTGTGAGAAGAGGCCTTTGCTCAGCAGTGGGCACTTATAGGCTGATGTGTGTGTTCATTTTTATAGAATACTAGCTGCTCGCCCCTGCTTCGCACGGGTATCCAAACAGTTGTGTTCACGGGTGGAACAAATAATAATGAAGATTTAAGATTTGACGTGTTTAATGCTTAACTTTACATAAAAAATAATTAAAAAAAATTATGACGATGCGCGTGCGTTCCTTGTGCGAATTATATAGCGAGTGTCCCCGCGCCCGGCCCGCGTGTGCCGCCTTCCCCGCAGCGTGACGTCAGCGATGACTTGAAGACGGCCCGAACAAGTTGCAATTTCCCAATTTCCCTCTCTACTTTTGTAATATTTTCTTTGATAAGAACCTTCTCCTGACAATAACAAACACAACAAAAAAAGAATTAGCAAAATTGGTCCAGGCGTTGTTGAGTTATGCGCTTAGGTACCAACACATTTTGCGATCCATTTTTATTTATAAGAAGATTTTACTTCTGGCCGGTATATAATAATAAATAAATAATAAATACACTTTATTGTACACCAAAAGAGTTGACATGCATAGTACAAAATGAGTGAATCCAAAGTACTGGGTACAAAGGCGGCCTTATCGCTAAAAGCGATCTCTACCAGGCAACCTTTAGGTGGACGGAGTATTGTAGTAGTGGGTGGCAGTCTAGGTGTAACAATAGAATTAAAAACATTAACAAGCTATATACAATATTCATGCATACATACATACATACACACATACTTACACATACATACATACATATATACATACATACATATATACATACATACATACATACATACATACATACATCAAAGATATACCTAACTATAATTATAGCGTGGCCAGATAATGTTCTTTCACGAGCGATTTGAAAGTGACAAGGGACTGTGCTTGTCTAATGGAGACTGGTAGAGCATTCCACAGTCGAACAGCTTGAACCGAAAAGGATTTGTCAAAGCACCTGCTCTCGTGCTGGGGCATCTCAAGCCTCAACCTCTCCGACGACCTTATTGGTCGAGAATGTGTGTCATGGTGGAACTTGAAACGTTCTTTAAGGTAAAAAGGGGTTGCAGGATTAAACAGTATATTGTATAAAAGGGATAATATATGAGTATTCCGGCGAAGGCAGATCGGCAGCCACTTGAGTTTTGCACGATATTCAGAAATATGGTCATATTTGCCATGGTATATAAAGAATAATTTTTAAAATTCCAGGATAAAACTAGACCAATTTGTAGTACCAGCTTGTTTACATGTTGGAGACAATATCAATGATGAGAAGGTCCAAGCTACAGGATGGGGATTGACGCAGTACAGCGGTTCTGTCTCCGATACTCTTCAGAAGGTAGGTCTTACTGTAAATAAGGTCTTTTTTTGTGAGGGGAAAATCATCAAATGACTTCTTCCGCCCTTGGGTGGGGCGGGAGGGAGTGTCAGACTCTTACTGACTAAAAACCCCCCTGTTCGTTCTCCTGCTCTGGGCCGAGGTCGCGGTGCCTCATTGCGCTTACCCCGCAACCCCGGCTGTAAATAAGGTCTTAAGGCGCCTAAAAGGACTCTGCACGTCGATTCTATAAAATTTGTTTGAGTCTATAATTTTGAATCTTGTTCGAGTGTGAAGTGAGCGTCGAAGTGACGCGGAAATTACATTATAGAATGCCACTTTTAACGTCATCTCGTACTTTATCTATCAAAATGTTGCGGTTAATTTAGTTCAACTCACAAGTGTAGCGCTAGTGTACTACTACTCACAGCGGATTCAGATTCGAAGTTTAGGATGAAGTCTCACAGAATCACACTGCTGAACCAATCGCTCTTTTTGAGGTGTAAAAATGGTAGAAAGAGAGATGATGAGGTAGCGAGGTTACGGGGCATCAATTTTTTTTAATGTTACATACTAATATTATAAAGAGGTAAAATTTGTAAGTTTGTATGTAGGGGGTAATCTTTGGAACTGCTGGTCGGATTGCCAAAATTCTTTCACTGATAGATAGTTACAATGTTCCTTAGTGTTATATTGATGAAATAAAATAAGAAATTTGAGGAATAACTTTAAGGAAAATGTATTAATATAATAATTGGTATTATACAGATGACAGAACACAAGAACGACGAGTAAAAAGTATATACCATAGAAAAGTAATAAAAATGTCATATCTTCTATGGTTATTTAAAACTCTTTAGAGCCTAAAGCGTCCATCCTTTTGTCATATATGCTATAAAACATCACGCTACAATCAAATGTAGCCGAGCAGCGAATGAAACCGCGCGGTGGTAGCTAGTTGTTTATAGTTTTGTTTAATATGTTGTTTTCTGCACAGTGAGTGTCTGTGAGCCAAGTACAGACTTATATTTCCACAGATATGTCTACCTTTCATTAAAAAATAATTGACGTCAAAACATTGCTCTATCTTCGAATTGGTAAGCAAAGATGCTAATATTCTTCTCCCGGTTTTCTTCTATACTAATATTATAAAGAGGTAAAATTTTTAAGTTTGTATGTAGGGGGTAATCTTTGGAACCACTGGTCGAATTGCCAAAATTCTTTCACTTATTGATAGCTACAATGTTCCTGAGTGCAATAGGCTATAAAACATTACACTACGATTAAATGGAGCTGAGTAGCTAACTCTATGCTGTTCTACTCAGAAATCCAGACTCAATCTCGAGAACTTTTGCCCGACATAGGAATCCAACCCGAGATTTAGGAAAATGAATTTAAATGTGGGAGAGCCATGCTTCAGCACGAATGGGTCGGCTCGACCGCAGTGATACCACGGCCTCACAGAAAACTGGCTTGAAATATCCACAGCGTTGTGTTTCCCCATGTGAGTGAGGTTACCGAAAGCCCAATCCTTTCCGTCCCTCAAATCTCCCAAATCCCAAATCGTCAAAAGGTCGGCAACGCACTTGTAACTCTTCTATTGTTGCGGATGTCCATGGGCGGTGCTGATTGCTTACCATTAAGTAATCTGTCTGCTCGTTTGCCGACCTATCACATAAGCAAAAGACCTTACTCGAAAATTGAACTAGTCACCGCTCAACTAATAAGACAATTTTGACTCACTGAGGCACTGCGACCTCGGCCGAGAGCAGGAGAAGGTACGGAGGGGTTTTTAGTCAGTAAGTCAGGGCCCTGTAGGGCTGATGTCCAGCCAGGGTTGCAAGCGCAATGTGACACCACGGCCTTGGCCTAAAAAAGGACAGGGAACAGGGGAGTTTTTATTCAATTAGCGTCCGACACTCCCTCTCGCCTCACCCTGGGCGGGAGAAGTCATTTGATGATTTGCTCCTGACAAAAAAAAAGTCGTATGTATGTAGGTATGTCAACGGTGATCTCGCAAACGACTGAACCAATATAGATATGATTTTTCAAAAAATCTTCTTTTCATTTTCCAGGTGGTCTTAAATAAATTTACCACAGCTGAATGTTCAGCCAAGTACCAGCCTGTGCGCCTGATGAAACAAGGCTTTGATGCTCAGAGCCAACTGTGCTATGGTGATAAGCTGGTCTCCAAGGACACCTGCCAGGTACGTTCTGACATCATCATCATCATCATCATCACCTATAATCCATGAGAGCCTACTGTTGGACTGGGCCCAGTCCAACCACAGAAGGCCTTCTATGGTCTTCGATTGGTTAACCTCAATCTCAAGAGTTTTTTAAATGTCGACAAACGATCGGTGGGATTACCTGATGGTAAGCAATCAGCGCCTTCTATGGACTTTTGACCTTTTGAGAATTCTAGATTCCATCTATGCAAAAAACATTCTAAAATATTTTCCCTTTATCTAGAATATTATAATTTACTCGTGGTGATCCGGAGGTTAAGGAGCCCGTCTCTCATGTAGGAGGGAGAGGGTTCGAAATCTAGCAAATAAAGTACAGATGTGACATTTGCCGAGTTATGGTACGTTCTACGATTATTTAGATACGATGAAAGAAAACATCTTGAGGAAACCTAGACTTATAATGCCAAATTATAAGTTTGAAATCGCCAATCCGCCTTGAGCAAGCGTGGTGGTTAATGCGCAAACCATCTCCGTGTGAGAAGAGGCCTTTGCTCAGCAGTGGGCACTTATAGGCTGATGATGATAAGTATGAAGTGAATGCTTGTTTGTTTTTTTTATGTGATAGATCGCCAAACGAGCAAACAGATTACCTGATGGTAAGCAATCACGGGCACGCTACCATAGCAGCGGTAAGACCCCTCTTTGAGGAGTGGCTTGAGAGACGCCACGGCGTCCTCACCTTCCGTCTGACGCAGGTGCTTACCGGGCACGGCAGCTTCGGTAGGTTCCTGTTTCGGATTCAGCGGGAGGAAACGCCCGAGCGTACGGCGCGTAGCGTTCCGCGCGCGCCTCAAAGAGCCATTCGACCACCACAGACGGGGCCCTAAAGGGCTGATGTTCAGCCAGGGTTGCGGGGTAAGCGCAATGAGGTACCGCGACCTCGGCACAGAGCAGGAGAAGGAACAGGGGGGTTTTTAGTCAGTAAGAGTCTGACACTCCCTCCTGCCCGGCCCTGGGCGGGAGAAGTCATTTGATAATTTTCACCTCACAAAAAAAAAAAAAAAAAAAAAAATGGTAAGCAATCAGCGCCGCCCATGAACACCCGCAACAGGAGTTAAGAGTGCGTTGCCGACCTTCTGAGGATTAGGCATTTGGAGTTTCAGGGATTGGGGGAGGGGAAGGATTGGGCCTCTGGCAACCTCATTCACACGGTGACTCACTCACTTATTTTTCTTTTTATATTTTCAGGGTGACAGCGGGGGTCCCATTCAGGTGAAGAGCAAGAATATAACTTGCATGTACACTGTGGTGGGAGTCACGTCTTTCGGCCGGGCCTGCGGCTTCGTGGGAGAGCCCGGCATCTATACCCGGGTCGCGAACTATGTGCCTTGGATCGAGAGCATCGTGTGGCCAAACTGATTATGACACGGCTTATGTTTAACTTACTTTCATGTCGTAGTATAATATATATAACAGGAAAAAACAGTAAATGATCACCAAGATCAATATTTTATTTTAATGTAAAATTATAATCAAAGTCTTTTAAGAAGAATGGGTCCAAAAATGTGTTTGATGTGACTTTAAAGCCACCGTACTGGTCTGCGGACGACGAGTGCGGGTAGTTCGCCGCCAGACCAGAACCAGACTCGAGCGTATGGCGCGTAGCGTTCCGCGCGCGCTTCCAAGACCACCACAGACGGAGCCCTATAGGGCTGATTATCAGACGGGGTTGCGGGGCAAGCTCAGGAGAAGGAATGGGGGTTAATATAGTCTGACACTAAGGGCGGGAGAAGTCATTTGATGATTTTCCGATCACAAAAAAGGGTCAGAGTTCTAACCTAACCTAACTCATTCAAGTGCCCCAATAGTATTTATACACATACTAATGTAATAAGGAATGTACAAGTAATAAAATATAAGCTTACACATTATATTTAATACTAGCTCTTACCCGGCGTCGCTCCCGTCATTTGACTACCTACCCTACTCTAACTACCCTACACTACCTACCCTACACTACCTACCGTACTCTACCTACCGTACTCTACCTAACCTACTCTACCTACCGTACTCTACCTACCCTACTCTACCTACCCTACTCTACCTACCCTACTCTACCTACCGTACTCTACCTACCCTACTCTACCTACCCTACTCTACCAACCCTACTCTACCAACCCTACTCTACTTACCCTACTCTACCTACCCTACTCTACCTCGCAAAGATTTGGTGATCATTTACTACTTTTGGTGTTCGAATACAATGTAGTGTTAGAATTGAGGGTGTCAAAGCATGTTATGGGGGTTATTATATTAAACCCCCTTTTAATACATACAAGAGAAATTATTTTTTATATAAAAAAAAATAGTGAATCACCAATCAATATTAGTTATAATAATAGGTCTTTACCTATGCAATTGCCGTTCTGCAGTACCTACCGGCCATTTCAAATCAAAATATTTTTTTGCTAGGCTACGACTAATTAATTTTGTTTTAAAAACATGGGATTCTTTTTCCAAAAGTAGTCATTTGTTTATTGATTAGTGTTAGGTACATTTTCATCGCATTTCAAAATAAAAAAAATCGTTTGAATTTTTTCATGCAAAACGGCAATTTCATAGGTAAAGGCCTATTATTTCAAAGTTAAAAATCTGAATGGTTGATGATCACATCTGATGATGATTGATGAATGTGATTACATAACTGTGTCAAAGTATGATTGTTTTTTTTTTTGTAGGTATAATAATGGTTCGACAAACGAGCCTACGTATTCCCTGATGGTAAGCCATCGGCTCGGTTCTTTCTTCTTTCTTCAAGAAGTCAACACCAGCGAAATTACGACTGTTTTGCAGGTCTTTTCGGGATTTGTGTTTCGGAGTTTTAGAGATTTAGGAGGGATGGGGGGGGGGGGAATTAGGTAATTCACGTCGGTATTAATTGAAAACTAACTTACTTATATCCGCGACTGCGTTCGCGTAAAATTTGATTATCGCTATAGTGCGGGAACACTATATTCTTTTGAGACAAAAATAAAAGATTTTTTCTAAATAAAATTAGCCTAAGCTACTCCTTATCGCATAAGCTACGGACCAATAAAATCCGGTGCAAATCGATCCAGGCAATCCAAAGATTATCCGGAACATACATGCAGATAAACATTGTAAACAGTGAAACAAAAAATAAATCAGAAAGAGACCTTTACCTAAATATCATAAAAATCTGTCCAGCTGTTTTCGAGTTACAAATAATATACTTACATACATATTATTATAGATAACAAAATATGTATTTTTGACATTGGTATGTTAATAACATAAGTTACTTATAATAAGTATAAATAAGATTAAAAATATTTTTTTACAAATTTATAAACGTGTGGTTTTATTTTAAATTTCGTAAATTGAAAATAACTACTTATTATGCACGTATATACATATTATTAATATTATTTATTTATACTGTGGGCAGACCTGTGTTTGACCTCGGCCCAGAGCAGGAGAAGGAACGGGGGGTTTTTAGTCAGTAAGAGTCTGACACTAGGGGCGGGAGAAGTCATTTCATGTTTTTGGGAGAGTGATACCAAGGCCTCACAGTAAACCAGCGTGAAACAACAACAGCGTTGTGTTTCGCCGTGTGAGTACCTCACTCACACGGCCGAAGGCCTAATCCTTCCTCTCCGCCCACCCTAAATCTCCAAATCCCTAATCCCCAAAAGGTCGGCAACGCACTCGTAACTACTCCGTTCCGGGTGTCCATGGGCGGCGCTGATCGCGCAGGATATCAGATAATCCGTCAACTCGTTTGCCGGCCTATTACTTAAAAACAATAATCACCATACATGCTCAAGACAAATTGGTGATTTCTAACTTAGAAATTATAAGTCCAGGTTCTCACGATGTGTTCCTTCACAGTGTATCAGTGGTGTCTAAATAATCATAGATAATACATATAACTAGGAACAAGTCACATTGGTACTTGCCAGGCCTCGACCTCGTACTCTCATTTCTGTAGTATGTGAAGCGGCCTTAACGTCAGACATTTTTTAAACCATAACGTTACACATAATCAGTTTCTTAAACTGATTGGCAAAGAGTATATAACCAGGGAGTTTCTTGCTCGTTCTTCTCCATCAGAATCTACACTTTGGAACGAGCAAATAGCTTCATTAAGGGTTGGACCTCATCTGGCAGCACGGAATCGCATTTGATCCACCTGTGCTAGTACGTACTGCAGTATGTGAACGCGCGCTATCGCATTCCGCAGACAAAAAAGACAGAACGGATGGCACGGCACGGTGAACGGATGCGTTAGCATGCTATCGCACGCTTCAGCGTTCCGGAGTCCCCCTGCTGACCATTGCATTTTGTCCGTGATGCCGATTGCCTCGAGGATTCCGTCATTATGCTTTATTATGCTTTCTGTCTCGGTCTCGCAAATAGCAGTTCTAAGCGACAGAAAGAGAAAGGGCGACGGAAAAAGGGAACTCCGTGCTACCAGATGAGCTCCAACCCTAAGAGTAGGTACTGACCGACATTTTTCACCATTAACCTTTGTTTGACGGTCGAATAGAAGTGGCAATCCTTATTATGAAGGAGATAGGAGAAAAATGAAAGTAATTTTTTATCCATTAAACATCATTTTATTGAGTAAGATGTATAGGTACTATTCTTTAATGTCAATAACTGTTGTAGGCTGGTTGGCCTGTGTTTTGGTTTCTGTCTGTGTTCGGGGCGGGTTGACCCAAAACGCTTTGAACCGTATTCTGGGCCCAATCGTGAATACCATCCCATGTCCTTATGAGTGGAGGACTCGACCTCAGAGCCTGTACGTAAACCACTCGAGGTTGCGGTGAGTAGTACGGAAGCCCTGGATACTGTGGGTAGTATCCGGGCCCTCCCATAAACCCTGCAGAGAGAACAAAGATTTTTAATGTCAGAGACATCGATTCATTCAGTTCTATATTTTAGAAAATTTTAAAGTAACAATATGGGCGTATGTCTTCTCCCATCCTGGATGAGGCGAGAGACAGGGTCAGACCCTTACTGACTAGACGGCGCCCGTTCCTTCTCCTGCTCCTGGTCGAGGCGGCGGTGCCTTATAGCACTTGCCCCGCAACCCCGGCAGCAGCTTCAGATGTACAATACTCCCAAACCTGGAACGGCTGTTTGATGATGATGAAATAATGTGCAGGAATCGAATCCGACACACGGTGAACAGCAGCCGGTTGCCCAGACACTGCACCAGCTGTGTTATATGTGATAAGAACAGAATTTAGGAAATGAGAAATCGTTATCAAGAATTTAATAGTTTTGGAGAGCCAAACTTCGGCACGAATGGGTCGGCTCGACCGGAGTGATACCACGGCCTCACAGAAAACCGGCGTGAACCAACTACAGCGTTGTGTTTCCCCGTGTGAGTGAGGTTACTCCCCCTCCCTCTATCCCTTCCCAATCCTTAAATATCCGAAACCTTTACCTCTAAAAGGTCGGCAACGCACTCGTAACTCCTTTGGTGTTGCGGTTGTCTATGGGCGGCGCTGATTGCTTACCATCAGGTAATCCGCCTGCTCGTTTGCAGACATGTACCATAAAAAATATTAGGTACCGTTAGAAGGTGCTGCATAAGGATTATAATTCATGATACCTTGAGGTAGCGGACTGGCTGAAGCAACTCCATCTCCATTAGACCCTGCAGAAGAAACAACGACTTTTAATATAAGACATTGACAATTAATTGAAGAAAAAAGACGACTTAGTGCTGATTTCTGAGAATGAAACCGTGTGAGAGTAGCTAGTATTTATTAAACTTCGAAACGACATAAAAAAATCTTAACATAAATGTCTTTTATAAGAAATTGTTTGAGTTTTTGATAAATAAATGTTATAACAGCATTAAATATTTCTTGTTCGTTCTTCTCCATTCGAATCTACAATTTGGAACGAGCACCTAACTTCACTGACGAACAGACTGACAGACTACTATTCTATTTTGACGTTTCAAAAGTACCTATTGATGGTTTAGTTGGAATAAATGATTTTGACTTTGACTTTATGAGTGTGGAAGATATACTTCGGCACAAAATGGCCGACTTGAACGGAGTGACACTGGCGTGAAACAGCACTTGCATTTGTTAGTCGTGTGAATAATGCATCGAATTAATTGTAATAGAACTTCTGGTAAATAAAAGGAGAGGGAAAACTTAAGAATTCAACTTAACAACGCCGTGTGGTCACGGCGGAATAGAATAGAAACGTTACTCTTCCCGCGGGTATGTCAGAGACCGGGCAGCAGCGGTCATTGATAAGTCTGATCCTCTTGAGTTGTGATATCTAGTCTGATTGACAAGCGTGGCAAACCCTACTTTTGGAGACGAGGCCCTTAGTCCAACTGTGGACTCTCACGGGCTTTTGGCAATGATGATGATTAAAGATATAACAAAAGAAAACACAATAACTGATATAAAAATGTCTACTCACACGAGGTCCCCAAGAACGCGACGAGGAGAACGACGGATGCTCTGCTCAGGAACATGTTGGCTCTCTAGATGTCGACGCAGACTGTGCTCTGGAGAGCTTCGGGTTTGCTTTTATAGCGGCGTATGTTCGAGTCTAGATAACAACGAGATAGATAGAATACAGGGAAGGCGTGCGTTGACAAATATTTTAATAAAAATAAAACACATTTTTTTTTTATGTCGGCCGTTATCTACATCGTCGTCATAAGCCTTTAAGTGCCCACTGCTGAGCAAAGGCCTCTTCTCACACGGCGAAGGCTTCAGTAAATATCACGCTTTAAGAAATTCGGGACTTATTATTAGATAGGTTTCCTCGCAGAGTTTTCCTTCACCGTCTGTATGTGGCGTCTAAATTAGCTTGGAAAGTAAGCACTTACATATAACTCTGAAAATGTCACATTGGTACTTGTTAGGTTTTAAATCGCAATCTTGCGCTTGGGAAGCAGCGGTATATCGACAATCAAATAAGTTATGTATTAGACACCCTTGTTGTCATAGGGTACCACCGGCCTGGACAGATCCATCCATCCATCATAAGTGTGGGAGAGCCATACTTCGGCACGAACGGGTCGGCACGACCGTAGTGATACCACGGCCTCACAGAAAACCGACGTGAAATAACCACAGCGTTGTGTTTTGCCGTGTGACCCCTACCCCAATCCGTTCCCTATCCCAAAATCTCCAAATCCCTAATCCCCAAAAGGTCGACAACGCACTCCTCCATCGTTGCGGGTGTCCATGGGCGACGCTGATTGCTTACCATCAGGTAATCCGTTTGATCGTCTGCCGACCATCACTTAAAAAAAAATCTATCTCGCTAAAGACGAAAGCGTAGCGTTTCCCCAATATTCAGCATTACTTTTCTTAAAAACTTTTTCCACTTTTTTTATGAAAGGAGAATAATCATGAAATGACTTCTCCCGCCCAGGGCCGGGCGGGAGGGAGTGTCAGACTCTTAATGACTAAAAACACGGCCGCGGTGCCTCATTGCTCTCACCCCGCAACTCTGGCTCCGTCTGTGGTGGTCTATTGGCCCTTCGAGGCGCGCGCGTTGGCGGCGAGCACGATGGATGTCCAGAATGAAGTCGCGAGAGTAGTGATCCTGCTCGGAGGGTGGAAGCTGCTCTTAAGCGGTGAGTGAACCAGTGAAGCAGAATGCTTAGGCAGATGCAGATGATCTGACAAGAAAACAACAAGGTACATTAAATACATTTTCAAAATAACTACCAGGGGGTGATAAGTGATCGATACTGATACCAAAAATGCAATCAGTAAAATTTTTGTCTGTCTGTCTGTTCCTTATAGAAACAAAAAATACTTTTCATCACGCTATAAATAATAGGAGCAGAGCAGTGAACTTACTCCCTTCTTCAAGTTTCCGGGGCTTGTGTAACCTTAATGGTTAAACTTACATAGAAATTATGTATAAGGGGAAAAATTTAACATAAAATAATCTAAAAAAATCTGTCCCACGTGAACACTGAATCATGCTATAAGGATTAATTTTGTGTAACGGTTACCGCGCTCGATTCTCGATATAATAAAATAGGTTTTATGAAATATTTGTAATACTTACCTATTAGTTAGATCCGAACCATTCTATCTATGGACGGACGGATTGCGGTGACTTAGTAAGTAATAGGGTATTTACCCATTGGAGATATATACATAAAAATGAGACGATAAATAAAAAAAAATATGCATACTTCGATTTTGTTCTATTTCTAGGTATAGGCTGCTTTTTATCAACACAGCACGCGGGCGAAGCCGCTGGCGGAAGCTAGTCAGGAATATGTCTGATCGCTTCCCGTCCTATTATTACATACTTACAAACAAACATTCGCATTTATAATATTAGTAGAAAAAACACTACCTATTTATTACGTTTTAACGAATAATTGGGTTTTTTGGAATTCTAATTATCAGCATTTGTTTTTGTTATATAAATATAATACAGTTTATCACTTGCCTGGAGATACATAGACGCATTATATTGAGAGTTAGTACCTACACAATATAAGTATTGAGATACCATTCCTTGAGTGGGGAAAACCACAACATTACCTACTTCTCCCCCCCAGAGAGGGAGTGCCAGACATTTACTGACTTTAACCTACCCAGTCCCTTCTCCTGCTCTGGGCCGAGGCCGCGGCACCTTACAGCGCTAGCCCCGCAACCCCGGCTGAACATCAGCCCTGTAGGGCCGCGTCTGTCTGTGATGGTCTATGAGCTCTTTGAGCCGTACGCTCGCGTCTGGTTCTGTTCGGCCGCCGTCATTAGGCGATACCCTGGATCAACACGTAGGCTGTTTTTTATCAACGTACCACACAGGTGGAATCCAGTTTTATCATAATATGGCCACATTATCATTTATCATAATATTCCCGAACCGATACGACCTTCAAACCTTCAAGAAACGAGTGTACTACTTCATAAAAGGCCGGCAACGCGCCTGTGACTCCTCTGGTGTTGCAGGTGTCCATGGGCGGCGCTGATTACTTACCATCAGGTAATTCGTTTGCTCGTTTGCCTCATATTCCATAAAAAAACATCCCCTACTCCAGTCTCCATCTCTTTCTATGATTATTAGAATCAGTATGGGAGAGCCATGTTTCCGCACGAATAGGCCGACTCGACCATGGTTTTACAGAAAGCCAGCGTATAACAACGCTAGGATTGTGTTTCCCCGTCCTTGGACTAACCTTACCTCCCCCCTTTCTATGAATCCCCAAATCCCTAACTACGCAAAGGCTGATAAAGCGCTTTATATACTAGTAATCCCTTTTGGTAGTTGTCCTGGTAGCTTGGAGGTTAAGGCGCCCGCTTCTCATGCATGAGGGTGCGGTACAAAAACTTGCAAGTACCAATGTGACTTTTTCCGAGTTAAGTATATGTTCTTTCTATGATTATTTAGACACCACTGACATACGGTGAAGGTAAACATCGTGAGGAAACCTGGACCTATAATTTCTAACATCATGCTAAAATCTCATCCCTGAAAATAAAAGCGGCGCGCGCCTCAAAGAGCCACCATAGACTGGGCCCTATAGGGTTGATGTTCAGCCGGGGTTGCTTTCCAAAATAGGAGAGGGAAACTGACTGACTTAAAACGACCCGGTTTTTAGTCATTAAGAGTCTGACACTCTCTTTCGCCTTACCCTGGGCGGGACAAGTAATTTGATGATTTTCCTCTAAAAAAAATGTCGGTTGGATAGGGTAGGTAGTGTAAGGTAGTCAAATGAAGCCGCGGGTAAAACCTAGTTTATCAATTTAGGTCATCCAGGTCAGTCCAGTTCCTAATCTGCCTACACGGACGGGTCTGCCCTGCACATATAAAATATTTATCAATAAACACCTTGACGCATCACTGCGTCTAATGGCCGCGGTCAATTGATAAGCTAGATAACTATTTTTTTTTTTTTTTTGTAATATTTGTATTAAAAACTAAGAAGTACTGATAGTTAGAACTGCAAAAAATAAGGAAATATTGTTTAAAATGTAAATAGGTACCTTTTTTGTGGGGGGAAAATCATCAAATGACTTCTCCCGCCCAGGGCCGGGCGGGAGGGAGTGTCAGACTCTTACTGACTAAAAACGCCCCCGTTCCTTCTCCTGCTCTGGGCCGAGGTCGCGGTGCCTCATTGCGCTTATTCCGCAACCCCAGCTGAACCACTTCCATACTTGAAATAAGTAATATGTAAAGTAATTCCAACCCCAATCCCGTATCGCCTTCCGCGCGCGCTTCAAAGAGCCAATAGACCACCACCAAAGAGCATGTTATTATACATAGCATGTGGTTATATCGTCATTGACCACCACAGACGGAGCCCTATAGGGCTGATGTTCAGCCGGGGTTGCGGGGCAAGCGCAATGAGGCACCGCGACCTCGGCCCAGAGCAGGAGAAGGAACAGGGGGGTTTTTAAAACCCTGGAAAGGAGAAGCCATTTGATGATTATCTCTCCTCAAAAAAACGATCGCATTGAACAATGTCTAATCTCAATTCCTCGATTGTTAATTACAATCCTCAATATGCCACTCGATCCCATCACCAATCCCCAATTCAAAGTTCCCAGCACCAATCACCATCCCCAGTCATTATTTTACGCAATAAAATCAATCCTAAAAGGTTGGCTACGCACTTTCAACTTTGTTGTTGCTTGAGTCCATGGGCGGCGCTGATTGCTTACCATCAGGTAATCCGTCTGCTCATTCGCCGACCTGTTCTTATAAGAACTAGAGGGCCTACAGGTCACAAAAGCTAAAGTTTTTGTTATAATTTAAGAATAAAACTCAGTGTCACCAGGTTTCCTCACAATGTTTTCCTTCACCGTATGTCAGTGGTGTCTAAATAATCATAGAAAGTACATATTACTGGGAAAAATGTCACAACAGTACTTGCCTTAAAAACTTTTATAAGATTAAGGAATTTCTTGAACATAAATAAATAATATACTACATATAGGTAACTAAGATTCTGTAATATATATGAAAAGTTAAAATCACTACATAGTATAAAACAAAGTCGCTTCCTCTGTCCCTATATCCCTATGTACGCTTAAATCTTTAAAACCACGCAACGGATTTTGATGCGGTTTTTTTAAATAGACAAAATGATTGAATAGGAAGTTGTTTATGTATAATAACATCGATTAAATAGTGGAGAAATTTAGTATCAGCATTGCAGCCGTGCGAAGCCGGGGCGGGTCGCTAGTAAGTTGAAAATAAGTTAAAATTGCATGCAGCATGCAACTCAACATAAAAAGTCGGCAACGCACTCGTAACTCCTCTGTTGTTGCGGGTGTCCTTGGGCGGCGCTGATTGCTTACCATCAGGTAATCCGTCTGCTCGTTTGTCGATCTATCACATAAAAAATGCTGTACTTATTAAGCATAACATAATGATCTATTGTAACTTGAAAACCTCCGTATACCATGATATGCGCATATAAGAAATTCTTTATCACCATCTTTAAAAAAAATACAAATTTAGTCACATACACTGTTGTTCAAAAGTGTAGGAGCATTTATTATTTTAACCAAAACAATATTATTATGTAGTAGCGGCGCGCCCCCGCTTCGCACGGGTCCAACTATACCGATATTTTTTTTATGGTATAAGACGGATTACCTGATGGTAAGCAATCAGCGCCGCCCATGGACACCCGCAACACCAAATGGGTTACAAGTGCGTTGACGGCCTTTTGAGGATAGGGGTTTCGGATAAAAGGAACGGGAAGGGATATGGGAAGGGGAGGGATTGGGCCTCCGGTAACCTCACTCACACGGCGAAACACAACGCTGGGTTGTTTAACGCCAGTATTCTGTGAGGCCGTGGTATCACTCCGGTCGAGCCGACCCATTCGTGCCGAAGCTTGGCTCTTCCACACTTCGCTATGAAAAGGTCACTTTTCCCAATTTTCCCCACTACTTTTCTAACATTTTCTTCCACAATAACAAACACAACAAAAAAAGAATTAGCAAAATTGGTCCAGGCGTTGTTGAGTTATGCGCTTACCAACACATTTTACGATTCATTTTTATATATATGGATAGAATAATATTAATGTGGGAGAGCCATATCTTGCCAGTTTTGACCGGAGTGATACCACGACCTTACAGAATGTCGGCGTGAAACATCACTTACGTTGTGTTTCGCCGTGTGATGAAGTTACCGGAGCCTGGCTCAATCCATCCGCCCCCAACCCCCAATCCCTAAATCCCCTAACTCTAAATCCACAACTAGTCGGCAACGTACTTTTAGTAACTCCGTTGATATTACGAGTATCCATTAGCGGCGCAGATTGCTTACCATCAGGTAATCCGTCAGTTCTTCTGCCAATTTATTCCGAATGAGAAAATATCATGTGCGTGCGGAAAAATAGTTATTATTTGAAAAAAGAAGCGATAGATACAATTTTAAAACTAGACGCAAATAAAGGCTGACTGTGCCGCGATTCCAACAGTCCAAATTACTAAATAAAATCCTTTATGAAGAAAGTCAATTTTGAAAGTTATAATTAACGCGAATTGAATAGCAAGTACATTATAGAGTATCCGGTTATATATTTAAACGCGAATTGTGTAGACAGGTATAGGTACTACAAACTTTCAAATTATTGAGATTAAAATAATTATTTAATAATTAATTAATTAAGGATGCCTGGCAGCTTGTTGTGTTGATTCGGCTCCACTGGACAATACTCAAATATATAGCCAGTAATTACTCTAATTCTCAGAACAAATTAAACCTTCATTGTAGCATCAAACTATTCTTTTTTTTTTCGAGGGGAAAACCATCAAATGACAGCTCCCTGGCAAGGCGAGAGGGAGTGTCATACTCTTCCTGACTAAAAACCACCATTTCCTTCTCCTGCTCTGGGCCGAGGCTACTGTGCCTCATCGCGCTTGCCCCGCAACCCCGGCTGAACATCAGCCCTATAGGGCCCCGTCTGCAGTGGTCTATTGGCTCTTTGAGGCGCGCGCGGAACGCTACGCGCCGTACGCTCGGGTCTGGTTCTGGTCGGGCGGCGAGCTACCCGCACTCGCCAAATGCATACTAAAAATAGCATGCAATATGGTGGCGCCATGTTCGAGACCATAAAAGAATTTTAAATTTAATGACAAATTATTGACCGCTTTTGCTCAGCAGTACCTATAGGCTGATAATGATGATGTTGAGAACGGTCGATATAATTTTCTCCTGATAAAAAATGATGCTTCCAAATTTATGAACGGTAGTGTATTTGACAACGCACTGTATCGGTCGCAAATATCACCCTCCCACTTCCCCTGGTATCCTATCTATCTCATTATCGTCTCGAATATACGCGGCTATAAAAGTAAACCCGAAGCTCTCCAGAACACAGTCTGCGTCGACATCTAGAGAGCCAACATGTTCCTGAGCAGAGCATCCGTCGTTCTCCTCGTCGCTTTCTTGGGGACCTCGTGTGAGTAGACATTTTTTATATCAGTGATTGTGTTTTTTTGTTATATCTTTAATCATCATCATTGCCAAAAGCCCGTGACAGTCCACAGTTGGACTAAGGGCCTCGTCTCCAAAAGTAGGGTTTGCCACGCTTGTCAATCAGACTAGATATCACAACTCAAAAGGAGACAGAATTATCAGTAGCCACAGCTGCCCGGTCTCTGACATACCCGCAGGAAGAGTAACGTTTCTATTCTATACGTTCGTGAGGGATCTATCCTCCTACTCACGCCCCAGCCGCCGCAGTAGGCGACACATCGGGGGCCGGGAATCAAGAGATGATCTCTGGCCACTGAAAATTAATGATGAATTAATTGGAAACAGCACCAACATTGGTTTAATTCTAAATAGAAATTGCAAATCATTAATATACAATAAAAACAGAAACGGGCCTAAAATACAACCCTGTGGAATGCCTATTTCATCTCAGGGCCTAGTGATAAATAAAAAAGACCTGATATTAAAAGTCGTTGTTTCTTCTGCAGGGTCTACTGGAGATGTAGTTGCTTCTGCCAGTCCGCTCCCTCGAGGATACCCGACGCCACAGTACCAGCCAAATACTGGAAATATTATTGCTAATCAGAAACCAGCCTCTCCTAACGGTACCTACTTACTTATATCTTTTTATAACTAATTCTAATTCGTTAAATTTATTGAGTGTTCTTACCCGAATCCAAACTTTCAAACTAATATTATAAATACGAAAGTAACTCTGTCTGTCTAAACTACTGAACCGGGATATATATTTTACATGAAAAAAATAAAATGTGTTAAAGACCTACAGCGCCATCTATTGGTCGAACGCCAATTCCAACCTCTACTAACGGTACTTTACTTTTACATAACTAATTCTAATTCCCGTCGATCAACAATACCAACAATTCCTTTAATTGTATTTTCTTATCACACATGCGAGCGCTCGAGAACTCTCATTCCAAACTTAGCGCAGTGCCTGGGCAAACGACTTCTGTACAAAGTGACGCGTGTTCAATTCCGGCACATCATTATTTTCATCATCATCAAACTGCTGTTCCAGGTTAGGGACTATTGCCCCCTCTGAGGTGCTTAATGCGGGACATAAAGACGACGACTAGGTATCAGGCCTCGAGTGATTGGTCTATTTAGCGTATGCTTGGAGAGGGTCCAGTTTCCGCTGTCGTGAAAGACGGTTAGCCTGGTCGTCGTGAAGAACCCGGGGCGCCCTACGGACTCTCCGTAGGCGTACAGGCCCATTGAGCTGCTTGACGAGATTAAAAGTCGTTGTTTCTTCTGCAGAGTCTACTGGAACTGGAGATGGAGTTGCTTCTGCAAATCCTCTCCCTCGAAGACACCCGCCGCCACAGGACCAGCCAAACGGTGGAAACATTAATTATAATCCGTTAAAAGCCTCTCCTAATGGTAATTAATTTTTCATAACTATTTATTATCCAAATCCAAACTTTCAAACTAATATTTTAATGCGAAAGTAACTCTGTCTCTCTGTTTGTCTCTGTTTCTGTCTAAGACAGACACGCCTCTCTCACACACTCTCACTCTTCACGCCTTAACTACTGAACTGATTTAAACGAAATTTGGTACTGACATCGTTTGGAACTTGGAGAAATCAGATAGGATAGTTTTTTTTAAAAAAGGAATAAAAATTAAAATGTATTACGGACTTACAGCGCCATCTATTGGTCAAAACTTGGCAACAATTCAGTACTATAAATGTTGAGCTGTTTCTATGTTCCGTAGATAGATGGCGTTAATTGCGCAATGGTGTCATAGTCATAACATGGGTTCGGTTTATGTTATTGTTTTAATGTAAAGAAATAGTAAAAAGGTATGAAAAAATTGAATCAATATAATATATGACAACGAAAATAATCTAACAGAGTATAAATAATTCTATTAAGTACTAAAGGTCAAGTTTTCCTTGTGCTCGATAGATGGCAGTGATCGCGCAATAGCGTCGATCGTACCACGAACTGTTTTAATTGTGTAGTTTCCTAGGTCGAAAATAAATTAATTTGACGTTTCAATACAATAAAATATTGAAAAATAACTATACTTTTATTCATCGATCGATCAATAGGTACACTAAGTTTTAGATATTTTGTAGCTAATTATAAAGAAATAAGTAAGCTATTTGACGCAAAAATACTATGACGTCATACCTCAGTTTTTCATACAAATTTCATAGAAATGTATAGTTTTTGACGTTTGGATAAAAGTATTGCATTTGACTATTTGGCAACTACCGTATTCATCGGGAATAAATAAAAAAAAATTCAGACAAAATGCTCGAACGGAGTTTAAATAAATAAAGAGTATGTAGTAAAGTCAATATGGTGCAATTTTTAGAACCCCTCGGTATTAAGTGACTACTTTAATTCGAGTTGTCACAATGCAAGAGAAGTCCTTTGTTGGTTTTCCCCCTCCAAGAAAGCGTCGGCACGAATGGAGTTACACGATAGTGTACACCAATTCCTGATATTAAAAGTCGTTGTTTCTTCTCCAGGGTCTTTTGGAGATGGAGTTGCTTCTGCCAGTCCGCTCCCTCGAGGATACCCGATGCCACAGTTCCAGCCAAATGCCGGAAACATGAATTATTATAATCCGTATCCAGCTTTTCCTAGCGGTACATAATTTTTTGATGACGATTCTCTTTCCTTAAATTCTGTTTCTCTTCTTTTTACATTTAAGAACGTTAGACAGAGCTCTCATTGCACGGCTGCTGTACAACGTGTCGCGGGTTCGAACCCCGCACATTATTTCATCGTCTCCAAGAAAAGTGTTAGAGAGCCAAGCTTCGGCACGAATGGGTCGGCTCGATCGGAGTGATACCACGGCCTCACAAAAAACCGGCGTGAAACAACCACATCGTGTGTTTCGCCGTGTGAGGGAGGCCCAATCTTTCCCCTCCTCGATCCCTTCCCAATCCCTTAATCTCCAAAACCCTAATTCCTAAAAGTTCGGCAACGCACTTGTTACCCCTTCGTTGCGGGTATCCATGGACGGCGCTGATTACTTACCATCAGGTAATCCGTATGCTCGTTTGCCGATCTATTAAGTACATAAGGTTTGGGAGTATTGTACATCTGAAGCTGTTGCCGGGATTGCGGGGCAAGTGCTATAAGGAACCGCCGCCTCGACCTGGAGCAGGAGAAGGAACGGGCGCCGTATAGTCAGTAAGGGTCTGACAATGTCTCTCGCCTCATCCAGGACGGGAGAAGACATACACCCTTATTGTTATATTTAAAATTTTCTAAAATATAGAACTGAATGAATCGATGTCACTGACATTAAAAATCTTTGTTCTCTCTGCAGGGTTTATGGGAGGTCCCGGATACTACCCACAGTATCCAGGGCTTCCGTACTACTCACCGCAACCTCGAGTGGTTTACGTACAGGCTCCGAGGTCGAGTCCTCCACTCATAAGGACATGGGATGGTCTTCACGATTGGGCCCAGAATGCCTTTCAAAGTTTTATAGGTCAACCCGCCCCGAACACAGATAGAAGCCAAAACACAGGCCAACCAGCCCCAAACAGTCAATATTAAAGAGTATACATCTTACTCAATAAAATGATGTTTAATGGATAAGAGTCTGCTTTCATTTTGCTTTTGATCTCCTTAGAAATGTATTTCTCAATTTTCAATCCACCAAGGTCGGTAAACGAACAGGCGGATTTCCTGATGGTAAGCAATCGGGGTCGCCCGTAGACAACACCAGAGGAGTTATGAGTGTGTAACACGTTGTGAGGATTAGGGAATAGATTTAGGGATTGAGGAGGGCTGTGACCTCACTCAGACGGCGAAATGCATCGCCTTGGTTGATGATGTATGCACAAAACTTCGACGAGCGACGAGACCTTTGTTCAGTAATGGACACTTATGAACTGGTGATAATAGTCAAGGTAAGAAGAGCTTTATGCTTATCTTCAACCCAGAAGAAATAACTACAGAGAGAGAAGGAACCGATCAAAAGGCCGGTAACGCACTCGTAGTAACTCCTTTGGTTTTACGAGCCATTGGAAAGGTTAAGCAGAACCTGTTTGCTGATGATGATGTTGAATAGGTTGAAGTAAAATCAGCAGTACCTACAGTAGTTTCCAACTAGTCAAATTCAATACTTTTATCCAAATGTCAAAAACAATACTTTTCTATGAAATTTGTATGAAACACTGAGCTATGACGTCATAGTGTTTTTGCGTCAAATAGCTTACTTATTTCTTAATAATTAGCTTAAAAATATCTAAAGTTTTATGTATCGATCGATCGATGAATTAAGGTATAGTTATCTTACAATATTTTATTGTATTGAAACGTCGAATTAATTTATTTTTGACCTAGGAAACTAGGTTTCAAGTTTCTCTTGATCAGATATCCAACAAAACATGTAGTTTAATTAACTTTTACATGAATCAATGTAAAACGCCGTTAACGTCGACTTACATATGAGTTGTCATTGATCGGCAAACGAGTAGACGGATTACCTGATGGTAAGCAATCAGCGACGATCATGGACACCTTCAACCACACTACACACTTTCAACTTTGTTGTTGCTAGTGTCCATAGGTGGCGCTGATTGCTTACAATCAGGAAATCCGTCTTCTCGTTTGCTGATTTATTACCTACATAAAAAAAGTCGGCAAGGACCTTGCAACTATGTACTCAGGTGTTACGGGTGCCGATTGCTTACCATCAAACGATCCATCAGCTCCATAAGCGCCATAATCGTCCAACGAAATACGAGCTAAAAACAAAAAATTCTCTTAATTTTCATATTTTTCCTTCTTACGCCATAAAATAAACACGTTCAGTTCAGTGTGGATATGACGTTTGACAGATGGTCCACCATTTTGGAAAATTTATAGCCGTCGACAGTACTCAATACTCAATACTCAATACTTTATTGCTTTCCACATGTATTATCATAAAATTCATTGTCTTTTGCAGTTTAAAATAAAATGCAGCCGGAAATTTTTTAATTCTTTAATTCTCGCTCAATGCATTCTATTTGTCTGTCAGCGCCATTGGTGTTTTTTTTATGTAGACAATAGGTCGGCAAACGGATTACCTGATGGTAAGCAATCAGCGCCGCCTATGGACACCCGCAACAGAGGAGTTACGAGTGCGTTGCCGACCTTTTAGGGATAAGGGATTGGGGGAGTGGAAGGATTGGGCCTCCGATAACCTCACTCACACGGCGAAACACAACGCTGTAGTTGTTTCACACCGGTTTTCTGTGAGGCCGTGGTATCACTCCGGTCGAGCCATTCGTGCCGAAGCTCCCACACTTAGCATCACTACATAGTATAAAACAAAGTCGCTTTCTCTGTCCCTATATCCCTATGTATAGGTATATATAAAAGAAAGTCGTGTTAGTTACACTATTTATAACTCAAGAACGGCTGAACCGATTTTGAAGGAAATAGGATAGTAGGTGGTGTGGGATAGGTAGAGTAGGGTAGGTAGTCAAATGACGGGAGCGACGCGACGCCGCGGGTAATAGCTAGTTATTTTTTTAGTAAATAAATTAGACGTAATAAGTACTAGCTACTCTCACGCGGTTCCACCCGCTGCTCGGCTGCTTCAGATTATAGCGTGATGTTATATAGCCTGAAGCGTTCCTCGATAATCTATTCATTACAAAAATAATCTTACAATTCGAATCAATAATTCCTGACATTAGCGCGTTCAAACAAACAAACGCTACAGCTTTATAATGTTAATAAATAATAAATATACATCGATCACTAATAAAGAATAGTGATCGATGTAAATATATAATAGTATAGATATTAATCTTTCACAAGCCAACCTAGAAGCTGGTATCTTATATATTTTTTCGTTTGTTTGCTAATCCCAAGCCAAGAGTAACGATGGAGTTTCTTGCTCGTTCTTCTCCATTCAATTCTACAATTTGGAATGAGCACCTAGCTTCACTGACGAACAGACTACTTCTCTATTTTGACGTTTCCTAAAAAAGTACCTATTTATGGTTTAGTTGGAATAAATGATTTTGACTTTGACTTTGACTTTGAATACATTTTTAGGGTTCCGTAGTAAACTGGGAACCCTTATAGTTTCGCCATGTCTGTCTGTACGTCAGCGGATAATCTTAGTGACCGTTTAGCACTAGAACGCTGAAATTTGGCACCAAAGTGTATGATAGTCACGCTGACAAAATGGTAAAATTAAGAGGGGGAAAATATTTATATCGCCGCACGTTAAGTATTTTTTAACTTCGTTTATACATTTTATTATAGTGAACGTATCTTCTTCCAAATAAAAAAAAATATTAAAATCGATTCACAGAATCCAATATGACCGACCCTTATATCTAATTCAAACTAGACAGTTTGAATTAGTTACCTAATTCCGTAAGAGATGGCGCTGTTCTGATGATTTACAATAACTCACTTATTGTGAGTGACGGAAAGCTACGGAACCCTACACTGAGGGTAGCCCGATACGCTCTTGTTCGTTATTTATAGAATTCAGTAATTTCAGGTTTAGCTAATTTTATACAAATATTTGTAACTTTTTATATTTTATATTATTACTAGCTACTCTCGTGCGGTTTCACCCGCTGCTCGGCTCCATTTAAACGGGACGTGATGTTTTATAGACTATAGCACTCAGGAACATTGTAGCTATCGATCAGTGAAAGAATTTTGGCAATCCGACCAGCGGTTTCAAAGATTACCCCCTACATACAAACTTACTTTACCTCTTTATAATATTAGGTACCTACTATAGACTATATAGACTACATGACAACTTAAGATCTATGAGGAGAAAATCATCCAATCACTTCTCAAGTCCAGGGTGAGGCGAGAGAGAGTGTCAGACTCTTACTGACTAAAAACCCCCTGTTCCTTCTCCTACCTAAGTCCGAGGCTGCAGTACCTTACTGCGCTTGCCCGCAACCCCAGTGCTGGAAAACCACACCGCCACCGTAACCTCTAGGTGGTCCTCACAGCGACGACACTCGGGCGTTTCCTCCCGCTGGATCCGAAACAGGAACCTACCGAAGCTGCCGTGCCCGGTAAGCACCTGCGTCAGACGGAAGGTGAGGACGCCGTGGCGTCTCTCAAGCCACTCCTCAAAGAGGGGTCTTACCGCTGCTATAACAGCGTTCCCCAAGACCCAAGAATTGGGTAGTTTCCTAGCTCAAAAATAAATTAATTCGACGTTTCAATTACAATAAATTATTGAAAAATAACTATTAGTACTTTTATCCATCGATCGATCGATACACTGATGCACTGAATTTTAGATATTTTTATCAATTTTTTTTATCAAATAAGTTAAATATTTGACCCAAAAATACTATGACGTCATAACTCAGTGTTTCATACAAGTTTCATAGAAAAGTATAGTTTTTGACATTTGGATAAAAGTATTGAATTTGACTAGTTGGAAACTACCGTACGGTAATGAACCTAAGAGATTTTGGTTTATTAAGAGTGCAGTAATCATGCGGTTAATAAATTAATTCTACTAATATTATAAACGCGAAAGTGTGTAAGTACGGATGGATGTTTGTTACTCTCTCACGTAAACACTACTGAACGGATCCGAATGTAATTTGGCACACAGATAGATTATAGTCTGCAATAACATATAGTCTAAACTAGGCAGAAATTTCAAAAAAAAAACTTTGCCACACACTAGCATTTACTCCTGTGTCGTGGGTGCGTTTCCAAACATACATATTCACATACACGTCACAACAATTTATGGATTACATAAAGTGTTGTTCCGTGCGGGAATCGAACCCGCGACACGTCGCACGGCAGCCAGTTCTCCAGCTACCGCGCCAACCGTGCAGTCAAATTAATATTAACATAAATAATGCCTAGCTTCACTGACGAACAGACTGACAGACTACTATTCTATTTTGACGTTTCAAAAGTACCTATTTATGGTTTAGTTGGAATAAATGAATTTGATTTGAATGTCACAGAACCTAACTAAATATAGCTACTAAAATATATGTATAAAAAGAAATGAACAGCCATCAAAATCCCGACCTTAGAAAGCATGGCAAGCACTTAACCATAAGCCACTTTAACCACTTACAAAACACGCGACACGAACATCGAACCTACACTACTGCTTACCTACCCTGCAAACAACTTACTTCCAAATCCTGTACGTCAATCTTTCTCTTTCTAATGCTTTTGAAACTCACTATAGCTGTCTCTTTCTTTTATTCGTGTGTGAGTGACGCCCTTATGTACGTACACGGATTGTGTGAAAGCTTTGTGGATGTGTGCGTAATACAGGTAACCAGTACAGTGTTGCTGCGGGGAAAAAATACCCAATTTTGTGGGAAATTTTTATGGAGATGGAAGAAATTATTTTTTTATGCTCAAATTAGATGGAGCTGATATTGAGTCCTTATCTTATATTAAAATAAATAACTGTAATAACTGATTGTTCCTAAACATGATAGAAAATACTTTTTAATGATTTTGGCACATACCTGGCGGTTTGTAAGTAAAAAATTAATACTAAATAAAAACGATCTTGTTAATTGAAAAAGTTAATTTGT